GACGGAATCCCTCCAGCCATCTCTGAGCTCTTTCTTTGGAGAAGAGGCAGTAGCTGCTCCCTGCAGGGCCGAGCTGCATCTCCAGGATAACCCCTGCTCCAGAGGGCTGACAGGAGCCCAGCTTTTTATTCTCTTGAGGCTTTTTTTAAGAAATGCCCAATCTTATAAATTGTGACTTCCCCGCGCAAAGAAATACAGATTATCCAAGCATCTAGCTTGCAGTTATTCGGTTAGCCTTCCAAGCGCACCTGTCCCAAGCCCCACTTCGCGTGGGGCTGCAGACCAGCTCAGCCTAATGAAGTTTGTTTTCACTTAACCCTCCCCTTACCATTCTACTTCCCAATTATGATTGCACAAAAAAATATATACATCTATGCCTGTCGGAATATTAACCCTCTCGCCCAAAGATGGGAAGTTTGACTTGAGTCAGCAGCTCTCCCACTTTCCTAGCCACTTGAATTCACATGCAAATTAACTCAGGGTACAAGGTCTCTCCCCAGGGGAACAGAAACATTCAGTCTCCGATGGGGCATGAGCTATATCAGACAACATATTTACTGCACATCTAAATAATGATCTACAAAGGCATTGCCGTGAAGCATTTCCAGTAGAACCATGACAACAGTGCAAAGGACCGGGTCAAGAACCATGTTGATTTGCCTTTCTATTACTTCCTGTCCAAAGTCACGATTTGTTCCATATTTCACTTCCCCTCCTCATGCAGCAGTACAAGAAGGTATTTAGCCGAAACTGTTTAGCACCCACGCTGTGAGGTACAATTATGTACACTCAAATAGAAACACCTGGTAAAAGCCAGACAACTGAGTTTCATTTCCTTATGTAATTTCAACAATTCGTTAACTAAAACATTACATTGACCAAAATATTTTAAACATCTAAAACTGGCTCCCTCTGTTGGTTAAATTCAAACTGATGCACCAAGCCTTGTTTTATGACATTGAAACGAGTGGAGACCCCTCATAGGGGACTGTGGGCCCCTCAAGCATGGAAATGAAGAAAAATCTTGAGTTTCTTTAAGGAAAATTCCAGGCACCTAGCTGACGCTGAAAAGTAAATGAGCAAATTAATAAGAAGGTAACGGTAGATTAAAACAGTAACCAAGTAAGTTAGAGTCATGAGAATGTTTGCTTTCCAACAGAAATATCTTTTATTTATTTATTATTTATTTATTGCATTTTAGGTTTTGGGGTACATGTGAAGAACATGCAAGATTGTTGCATAGGTACACACGTGGCAGTGTGATTTGCTGCCTTCCTCCCCTTCACCTATATCTGGCATTTCTCCCCATGCTATCTCTCCCCACCTCCCCACCCCCCCACCCCCCGCTGTCCCTCCCCTATTTCCCCCCAACAGACCCCAGTGTGTGGTGTTCCCGTCCCTGTGTCCATGTGTTCTCATTGTTCAACACCCACCTATGAGTGAGAACATGCGGTGTTTGAAACATCTTAACATACGTCCCTGAGTTTTGTTCAGAAACGTTGACCCCCCCACCTCATAGATTTACCCCCCTGAACCTCAGACAAGGGGTAAATGAGGACTGAACTCCAACGCCCCTTCTTTGTTCTAAATTTCTTCCTCAGGGTGCTGGTGGAGGTCACACCACAAGCCAGTGCTAACAGCCTTTTCTGCTGATCCCAAATTTTTAGCATACCCTTAATTTATATAGTTTGGATCTGTATCCCAACCAAATCTCATGTGGAATTGTAATTCATGGTATTGGAGGCGGGCCCGGTGGGAGGTGATTAGATCATGGGGGCAGAGTTCTCCTGAGTGGGTTAGCACCATCACCTAGGTACTGTTCTCGTGATAGTGAGTAGTGAGTTCTCATGAGAGCTCAGTTAGCAATGGGCAGCGCCTCCCCGCCCCCCTCTCCGGCTCCTGCACCGGCCATGTAAGATGTGCCTGCTTCCCTTCATTTTCCACCACGACTGTAAGTGTCCTGAGGCCTCCCCAGCCATGCCGCGTGGACAGCCCATGGAACCATGAGCCAGGGAAACCTCTTTTCTTATAAGTTACCCAGTCTCAGGCATTTCTTGATAGCAGAGCAAGAACAGACTAATACATTAACCAATCACAAATCAGAAAAATCTTTGAACCTACCTGTGACCTGTAAGCCCCGGCTTCAAGATATCCTTCCCTTTCAGGCCAAACCAATGTATAGCCTCTCTGTATTGATTGATGAATTTGCCTGTAACCTCTGCCTCCCTACCTTTAACCTTTACCTATGAGCCATCTGGGGGCTTGGGTCTGCAGCATAAACTACTCACTTCTCTTTGCTTGGCACTCTGCAAATAAACTCCTTCTTTTCTCTCACTGCAAACCTCAGCATGGATGTTTTGGCCTTACTGTGTCCAGCAAGCCGGCCCCAGTTTGGTTCAATAACAACATTTTCTACCAATGTACTTTTGGCTAAAATTCCGATTGTGTATAAGTAAAAAGAAACAAACAATATATAGTCACTTTAAAAAATCTCTGCACTTACCTGGAAACATTAGAAATGAGATTTTTTTCACTTAAGACAGTAATCCAAACTACTAAATCATGCCTGAAAATGTTAATGATTTCATATTAAAACATATTTTAATTTTCATTTATGTATTTATCTTTAGAGACAAGATCTCACTGCCACCCAGGCTGTGGCACTCATGGCTCACTACAGAACTGAAATCCTGAGATCAAGTGATCCTTCCATCTCAGCCTCCTGAGTAGCTAGGACAGCGTCTCCTTGTGTTGCCCAGGCTGGTCTTGAATTCCTGGCTTCAAGCGATCCCCAGCCTCAGGCTCTCCATTAGCTGGAATTACAAGCTATTCAAGCATCTTGCACTGGATCTTAGCCAAAAGACCAAGCAGTAATATTAAAGCATTTTAATACTAAATTTATTTATTTTCCAGGCATAGTATATTAAAGTCTGCACCTGAACATACTTCATACTTTAAGATTTAGCTACCTCAGCCCCATGCACCCAAGTCTTGGCAAGCATGACTATAGCCACCACTTACCTGGGCATGTCAGCAGCCTCAGAATTTTTGAGGCTGACCTCACCTTCTTATCTTGATTTAACATTCTTCTAATTCTAACAACCCAATTTGTCTCTCCTCTCACCTTCAGGCCACCAAGCTCCAGAGAATTCTCAGTAAGGAATATCATCCTCTCAATATTCCAGAGGCACCATTCTATAGGGGACCCTTAGACCGCCCATCAGTGGGACAGGAAGGAGCCGAAACCCTGCCCATTTCCCTCGGACCTGGCTAGATACTACTTTCACTGACTCACAGTCACCCTCCTGCACTGACAGCTAACAAGAGGCCAAGACCCACAGAACCACCACTGCCCCATTGTCAGTGGGAAGCAATTACAGAAGACTGACCTTCATCCATTTTCATCCAAAAGGACAAATGAATTGAATCAAGATCCCATTTTCAGCTGGATGTGGTGGTTCATGCCTGTAATCCCAGCACTTTGGGAGGTGGAGGCAGGCGGATCATGAGGTCAGGAGATCAAGACCATCCTGGCTAACATGGTGAAATCCCATCTCTACCAGAAAAACAAAAAGTTAGCCGGGTGTCCTGGCATGTGCTTGTAATCCCAGCTACTCAGGAGGCTGAGGCAGGAGAATCGTATGAACCTGGGAGGCAGAGGTTGCAGTGAGCCAAGATCACGCCGTTGCACTCCAGCCAAGGCAACAGAGCAAGACTCTGTCTCAAAAAAAAAAAAGAAAGAAAAGAAAGAAATGCAAATTCTCGGACCCTTCCCCAGACCTACAGTCAGAACTTCTAGATGTGGGTTCCAGAAATGTGATTTTTAGCAAATCTTACAGGTGATTCTGATGAATGATAAAGTTTGAGAATCATGACTCTGGACTGAGGAACATGTACAAAGGCACGGAGAGAATGTGGTCTTGTCCAAGCTATACTCCAAATATGAGAATGGTGATCCTAGTGCCTGTCGGAGACGGCCACACCAGACCTAGTTCGATTCTTGTTTAACAGAAAAATAGAATAGGAAAAAACAGAGTATATGCCAGCCCTATGCTTCGCATTGTTTCTCTTATCTAATCCTTACTACAGCTGTATTATTAATGTCATATCCATTTCACAAATACAGAAGTTGAGGTTCTGAGAGGTTACAGAGCTTGCCCAACCTCACTCAACTAGTAAGTACCAGAACTGGGATTTGAACCCAGTTCTCTCTGACTCCAGAACCCAGTGAGTTTTCTATGGCAGCCCGCTGCTTCCAAGAAAAACAGCTCAAGATAAAGAAGTGAAGGCATTTCAGCACCTCCCCTCACTAAGACTCCGGGGAATGGAGCATGCCAAGCGAGCAGCCATTGTTTGATGTCCCGTGACCGAAAAACTGACTTTTTGACTTTATTATTATGCCTTTGGAGATGGAGCCCAAAATGAGCAAATTTGCCTTTAGGTATGAGAGACGTTCCCTATCAGATAATGATTCCAGCTGTGCGTGGGAGGAGTACTCCGAGGTCCCCCGAGCCTTAGACCAGAACAGATCCAGCTCTCTGTTGCTTGCTTATCAGAGGAAATGTCCTTATATTAACATCCCTGGAGAGAAACATCTGATAAAGGGCTTGTAAACCAGTTCCCACCACATGATAATGAGGTATAGTATTGTCAGTGAATGAAGATGAGAAAAAAAAATTCCAAGTGGTCAGTGCTTAGCAGCAGAAAGAAGCACTCGGAAGAGGCATGGTTAAACTTTTGTCTAGAGCAGTATTGTGTGCTGTGTGTGCGCAACGTGGGTTGAAGATCAACGGAGGTAAAATTGCAGTGCTTGCCCTCGAGCGGGCCCTGGGGTGTGCTGGTGCTCATTCTGTTTTGTCTGGTTCACATATAAAGAGCTGCTGGTCAACCTCGTCTATTTTTATCAGGATGAAAAAATTCACTGTGGCAGGCACCATGCTGAATTGCTCAAACCCTGATGCTCAGCATACGCTGAGATTATTTTGTTGATGTTTGCACAGAAACTGAGAGTCACCATTGGCACATGAAACTCTTCCGCTGCCTAGAGCGTGAAATGGTCCCCAAAAGACAAGGTATGTTACGAAGGATGGCCACCCATTCTGCTGTGGCCGTTTTGAGCCTGTCTACGCAGAGTGCTATGCAATCTGTGGGAACATATTGGGACATATTAGTGTTGACCGTGTGCAGATGACCTATGATGGGAAGTGCTGGTGTGCTGCAGAAGCGTGCTTTTCTCGTGCCTAGCATAAATCCTTCTTGTTGTATGTCTCTTCTTCCCCAAAGTCAGATTTATTACTCAAAAATATGCAGCCTCAGTAAAGACATCCATGCCTCTAATTCTTCCAGTTATGCATTTCGATCAGCTTGATCAAGAAACACCAGAAAAAGTATCTGAATGGACAAAAGCAGGTGGTCAGCAGATCAGTGTAGACAGTCTCTCCTCTTGTCCCCTGCTTTGAACCACAAGGGTTCTGGCCTTTCAGGTGATGCTGATGACACCCTTTCTCAGAAATTGGATAATCTGAGTCTCTCCAGGCAAGGAACATTTTTATCAATGAAGAATTTTGGAAAGACGGAGTAGAGCGTTAATCCCTAGAAGACCCTGAAGGATGGGGTGGGCGCGAGATTACATGACATAGTTCTTCCTCAAATTTGGTGATAAAAGCATCTTCAGCAGCAGCCCGGTGAGAAGGATATTCCAGCCAATCAGCATTGGGTATCTGATAACATGTTTGAAAATAAGAACAAGCTAAAGCAGTCTTGCAAGTAAAAGTTACTGACCTGATATGGACTGGGCACAAGACGAACAGTGTTTCTGCTCACGGCAACCACCCAGGCCCTGCAAGCAGTAGAAGGCTCCAGAAATTGGATCTGGACCATGGGCCTTCAGGGTATGCTAATGATCAGACACAGGCGTAGGAAAATCCCCTGGGGTTTTTGTCAGACTTGAAACCAGAGCAACATGCTCAAGATTCTGTGGATTCTTTGGCTTTGTCCAACATCACAGTAGCTTCAGTGGATGGATGAAGCAAGCTGAGGTCATCCTTATATTCCCTGCAAACTCTGAAAAAAACGGAGGCAGAAGATTGTGAGCAAATCAGCAGTATGGAAACTTTGAACTCTGCTGCATCAAACTGCAGAGTCCTTAAAGTGTCCAAGTTCAGAATTTTGTCTAGAAAAAAATCATGCCTGAAGAAAAACTGGTATATCTGCCAGGACTCAGGCAATCCAAGTCTCAGTCCAGACCTCAGAAGGTCAGCTGATGTCACTGACAATGGAAACTACAACATCAAGTTCAGGCAGTGTCCTGTGAGTGACAAGACCTGGGTGTACCATCGTGAAGGGAGGGGATCTAGATCTCATCACCATTCCCACAGGAGAAGTAGAAAGTCCCACTCTGACAATATCCCAAATATTCTTACAGAAAGAGAATAATCTCCCAAGGACGGACCGCAGCTCTACATCTCCCATAACTACGGGTAATTTATGTGGAATAAAAGTGCCCAGGAAATCCAAGCATACATCCAGAAGGCAACCTCTATAGACAGCATGCCCATCCACTTCCGACCATTCATATGTGCCCAGGAGTGAAGAGATTTCTGGGATTTCTGGTGTTCCTCCTTCTCGTCCCTCTTCTGACTCAGAACAAAAGAATATTTTCTTGGACAAGTCGGTCCCTCCACCCCAGCCACAGAGATACGCCGACTATCTTGTCCAACTTCTGCACTCCCTGCTGGTCAGTTTGGTTAGAGGACAGCTCAATTCAAGAAAATAGGCGGACACAAGTGCAAAAACTATTATTTCTTAAGATAGTCGCTGTGGAGATAATGTGTTTAAAATGTAGCATTAACCATCAAAATCCTCTTTTTTTCTTACATAAGAAAATTGCTAAAATAAAGTGTTTTGCCTTTGTAAATGAGAAGTCGACTGCTGTTTACAGCACCTGATTAACATTTGAAAGGTGTACTTTCTCCTGTTTACCCTCCTCAGATGGAACCTAACAGAAATGTGGCAGCTTCACACAGCCACTTTGGTCTCCATCCTTAAGAGAATACTCAAGAAACTACCTCAAGGTGATTGAACAGGGGTGTTGATTTTAGAAGATAGAAAACTCCAGCCACCTCGGTAAAGCAATAGTGACTGTCATTCAGGTCAATTGGACTGGCTGAGGTCCGGATTAGTCCAGCCTGTGAGGCAGAGGGCAAAACTTAGCCACCTCTACTGGGGCTTCCTGGGCAATCGCAGTTAGGAGTTAAAGTCCTAGCTTTCCTCTCTCAGGGAATTGAGCCCTCTGTTAGGGATTAACTCTGAGTCCAGGGGACTCCAAATTGAATGGGGCTTAAACAGATTTAAGCAGAAAGCAGTGATGTGTCAATCTCACCTCTCAGCCGCTTGCCCCGCAGCACCCTGCACGTCCTAGATGGTGAGTTTCTGGCAGGTACAGATGTGACCGATTCACCTCTGCATCCCAGAGGAGGGAGCATTGTTTTCATTGCTGTGAATCATGGTTTATCAATGCTGCCCCTTGTTCTGTACCAGGATGGGGCTGAGCGCAGTGCACTCTCTACACCTGAGGTCAGCAAGCTGCCACCCACAGGAAAAACCCAGCCCACTATGTCTTTTGCCAGTGAGCTTTCATTGGGACACACACACACACACACACACACACACACACACACACACACAGTATTTTTATGATTACAAGAACGGTAAATGATAATTATCAAGAAAAAAGATATGAAAATTACCATACATTGTGATTCTAATCATGTTTAAATGCTTATAAAAGAAAGGGGCCAAGTGTGCGGTGGCTCACACCTGTAATCCCAGCACTTTGGGAGGCAGAGGCAGGCAGATCACTTGAGGCCAAAAGTTCAAGACCAGCTTGGCCAACATAGTGAAACCCTGTCTCTACTAAAAATACAAAAATTATGTGGGCATGGTGGTAATGGCATCCACCTGTAATCCCAGCCACTGGGGAGGCTGAGGCAGGAGAATCACTTGAACCCAGGATGCAGAGGTTACAGTAAGCAGAGATGACGCCACTGTACTTCAGCCTGGGTGACAGAGTAAGACTCCGTCTCAAAAGGAAAAAAAAAAAGGAATACTCCAAATGTTAAAATAGCTTCTCTCTCAATCCTTTATAAGAACTATGTTCATGTCACAGTTGAAGGAGCGGAGTGGTTGCCTCTAGAGGAATCGTGGGTGGCTTATTCCAATTACTCATACTGCTATATATTTCTCTATAATCCCACCCCTTGCTCTCATCCCAGGAAGTGGGAGGCAGGATCCTGAAGGAAAAATTCAAAGAATATCACTGAGGCTCAGATATATCCCCCGTGCCCAATGCCACAGCACTGCCACCTGTCACGGACATTGGACCTCTGGGAACTAAGGACGGAGGTGGGCGTTGGGCTTCCCTGAGAGACCTGGTCCATTGAAAGCCTAGAAAGATCATCTTGCAGGTGAAGCTATCTACAAAATTTGATTTAGAATTTTATTTTTAAAAACCTGAGCCATCCCAGATCCAAGGCCACCGGGCTGTGAGCTCCTGTCAGGGGAATTCGGAACTTTCCTGGTGCTGTCTCGGACCCGCAGCGTTCATTTCTGCCTTACCCCCTTCCCCAGTTCAGGATTACTTTGTAAATCAAAAAACACAGTTTCCTTCTGTCGTTAACTGATCTGATAGTTCTTTATGCCCACAGTTCACCCGGATCCTGTTTGAGCCGGTTGGTGACCCAGCCATTGGCCACCATGTTCCTGCCTCCCTGGTCTCTACCCTGCTAGCCACCACCTCTCAGATTGGAACTCCCACAAGCCAGCACTGTCACAGCAGCTCTGGGCCCTGTCCTCAGCACGCGTACAGCACGATGTTTTGTTGGTGAAAGTGGTGATCCAGAGGAAGCGGTCAGATTTTATTACTGGTGGCGGCATCAGCAGGAGTTTGACTTGGTCCTGGCCATAGTTCATAATGCAGAAACTAGCTCAGACAATTCAAGTGCTTTTTATTTGTTGCTGTTTCTGTCTCTTTGACTGCACTGGCCACCTTCTTTTGTCACCAAGCTTTGCTGTTACTGTTAAATGTTGTCTCAAATGGAAGCTCTTGGATTCTGAACAGAGTCAGATCCATCAGTTGTGCCTTAAATGCCCCAGCTCCCAGGGGTTCTTTCATATGTGTGGGTGCTTGTGAAATCAGAGGGAAATGTCTCCAGCAGCACTGCCAGCTCCCTGCCCAGAGCACTTTAAACTTTATCTCCAACTCCTTAAGCGGCAAATTCCACCTACCATTAGGCTCTAAGGTGATTTCATTTTCAGGCAATTTGAGGCATCTGGAGTAATTCAGGTCTCCTATCCCTGGTGCTGTGTCTAGTTCCACTCTGAACTGGCTTATGGAATGGAAATGACTTGTAAGCAAACCACTGCCATGAAACCACATGTGACCTGGATCTCCTGCCTGGGTCCCTAATGCCAGACTAGCCTGGCATCCCAAGGACATAAAGGCAATTACCCTGCAGGAGGGCCAGGTCCTTCTCAGTAACTGTCACAGAGACTATGAGAGGCGCTGTTGTTGTAAAGTGTTGTGAGCAGATGTGAAAGGACCCAGCCTGGGGTCTTGGCTTAGCCTGGGCCCAAGCCAGAGATGGTGGACCTTGGGTGGTAACCGAGGGGCATCAGCCAGACTTCAGAGGGAAAGAAGCCTGAAGGACTGATGTCAAAACCCCTAGCTGCTGGAGCGCTACCTCCTGCCAAGCTATGAGATGGCTCCTTAATCATGTTGTGCTTAATCAGCAGAGACCATCTGTGAACACAGCCAGGAGAGATGGGGTCAGACAAAGCCAGACTCCCTTCCACTCACTGGGCCTCAGCTCCCTCAATTGTATTCTGAGAAGATTGGATCAGGTGATCTCCAATTTTATTTCTGGTCCTATGAACCCACTAGAAGGCCTCTCCCATTCTATCATCAGACAGAATAATAATCTTATCTAAAAGCACATCATGTGAGAAACAAAGTAGATAACATGCGTAAACCGTTCTGTGAAGCAATAAGCCTTACGCTTATAAGATGAATTGCTATTAATGATCATGATTATGGTGCTGTCTCCCGGGCTGTTAACCATTATACTCTGTTAGATAATGCTGCTGTGACTGTCACTTACATCTTGCAAGCCTACTGCAATGTTCCCCTACATTGTCACAATGTTTTACACTCCGCCACCTCAGTCACTGTCAACTGTAGCACTCTGCTTTAAAAAATGATTTTGGGGGCCGGGCGCGGTGGCTCACGCCTGTAATCCCGGCACTTTGGGAGGCCGAGGCGGGTGGATCATGAGGTCAAGAGATCGAGACCATCCTGGTCAACATGGTGAGACCCTGTCTCTACTAAAAATACAAAAAATTAACTGGGCATGGTGGCACGTGCCTGTAGTCCCAGCTACTCAGGAGGCTGGGGCAGGAGAATTGCCTGAACCCAGGAGGCGGAGGTTGCAGTGAGCCGAGATCGCGCCATTGCACTCCAGCCTGGGTAACAAGAGCGAAACTCCGTCTCAAAAAAAAAAAAAAAAAAAAAAAAAAGGTTTTGGGCTGGGCAAGGTGGCTCACGCTTGTAATCCCAGCACTTTGGGAGGCCGAGGTGGGCAGATCACCTGAGGTCAGGAGTTTGAGACCAGCCTGGCCAACATGGCGAAACCCCATCACTACTAAAAATACAAAAATTAGCTGGGCATGGTGGTGCATGCCTGCAGTCCCAGCTACTGGGGAGGCTGAGGCAGGAGAATTGCTTGAATCCAGGAGATGGAGGTTGCAGTGAGCCAAGATTATACCATTGCACTCCAGCCTGAGTGACAGAGCAAGACTCTGTCTCAAAAAATAATAGGTTTTATTGTCATGATTCAGGTACAGTGAGGCCAATGGATGAAATGACTGCCATCAAAAAGATAGTTTGTCAATGAGAACACATGGACACAGGGAGGGGAACATCACACACCGGGGCCTGTTGGGGGGAAGTGGGCAAGGGGAGGGAGAGCATTAGGACAAATACCTAATGCATGCGGGGCTTCAAACCTAGATGATGGGTTGATAGGTGCAGCAGACCACCATGCCACATGTATACCTAGGTAACAAACCTGCACATTCTGCACATGTATTTCAGAACTTAAAATCAAAATTTTAAAAAAATTTAAGAAAATAGGCCTGGTGTGGTGGCTCACACCTGTAATCCCAGCACTTTGGGAGTCCAAGGCAGGTGGATCACAAGGTCAAGAGATGGAGACCATTCTGGCCAACATAGTAAAACCCCATCTCTACTAAAAATACAAAAATTAGCTGGGCGTGGTGGGAGCCTGTAGTCCCAGCTACTTGGGAGGCTGAGGCAGGAGAATTGCTTGAACCTGGGAGGCGGAGGTTGCAGTGAGCCAAGATTGCACCACTCACTGCAGCCCGGCGACAGAGAGAGACTCTGTCTCAAAAGAAAAGAAAAGAAAAGAAGAAAAGAAAAGAAAAGAGAAAAGAAAAGAAAAGAGAAAAGAAAATTCACCCAGGAAAACCTGCAATCCACCAAAAAAAAAAGGTCATTACTCACAGTTCCTAAGAGGCCACACCATGCCAGGCAAGGCCACATGGGGAAGTGCCAGGGTTGGTCACGAGCCGGTGGGAGCAAAGGGAAAATACAGGCAAGAGCTTGCATCATGCTTTTCACAGGACGGCATGGGCAAGGCAGGGCAAGCAGGCTTAGGGTCGGCTAGTTTGAACAATTTCAGTGGGCTCTAGAACGTGAGGGTTGTCCCGACTTGCCTGTTACCTAGCTCTCGTAAGGGAGGTGGCTGGTATTGAGAGGAGTTAGCTAGCTTGCTTTAGGTAGACAGCAAAGGAAGGGGTTTTGGAAAGCCCTTTGTATAATCAGTAGGCTCCCCCAAAAAA